CTTTTTGTGATGTTTGGTTGCCTCAAGGTGGACCTCTTGATGTCGGCATGTAACTTACAGCTTCCAGTTTAAATTGCACTGTTCCCTAATTAGGAGGTTCTCACAGTGGATGCTCTTTGAACTGTACTGGGGTCAGTGGGAACTGTACTCTTCCTTCCAGTTTGGCTGTTGCTCTGGGATCTTCCCTGGCTGGAGACATTTTTTGGCAGGTTTTTCACCGACTGGAATCTTTTTGACTGACCCAGTCATTGTTCTGGCTCTTTGGGTACATTGTCTGAATCTGTCATTTTTCTGCTGCTCCATCTCTCCAGTGGATGGGCCCTGGAGATGTTTCTCGATGATCTGAGGCTCTGCGGGTGTACACGTTTGCATTTGAAAAAAAAAAAAACCTTTGTGACTTGCTCATTTTTTAGTCCATAGGTCACCAATCTTTTGGTGTATCCCCTGCGGTTTTTATTGTATTGACAATACTGTATGAGGTTGCTTGGCACTACTCCTGTTCTTTCCTCTCTGTTGCTGGCTTTGGTGCTGTGCTTATTGATCCTGTATTTTTTGTGGTAGTTTTAGTCCATTGACTTTATTTTTATACATAGCTGCTGCTGTTTGCATTTGGTGTCAACCGTTTGTTGGCTGCACAAGTTATCTTAAACATAATTTTTCCTTGCTTTGGGGCTGTTCATTTCATTCTCTTGAGCCTTCCTTACCCTGTCCAAAGCCTTTTTCTTTGGACAGGGTTTTGGGTCTTTCTCTACTTCCCGTGGTTCTGTTGCCCCTCGAACTGGGACTGCTGCTTTTAAGCTACATTTCATTCTTCTGATCCTGGTGATCATTTTCTTTGCTTACAGCCTTCTTCCTTTCTGGCTTTGGTTGAGACTGATAATTTCCCTTTTTCCAGGGTATTACTTTCTGCAGCTCTCCACCCCTGGTGTGTTTTCCCTTCTGTTTTCTCCTCTGTAGTGACATAACAAGGAGCCACCATAGGACCCCTTCCAGAAAAACCAGCATTGAATGTAATGAAATGCCTCTTTCTGGTGGCCCCCTTGGAATCTCCTTGGACCCTCTGTTCCCTTTTCAGGGATTTTAGTTTTTATCTTCCTAGATAAACGAATGAGCGTGTCTAGTTGAGGGATCGACATGCTAGGTGTGCAGCTACCAGGTATGCATGAAGGCATGTGCATGCACGTGGGAATTCTTGATCATGTTCATTCGTTACTGTACTTGTATACAAATTTATAATACAGTATTATGTATAGAATTAGATTCTTGGGCAACTTTTCTTTTGGTCACATATCAAGCCGATGCAATATTAGCTTATTTAAATTTGAAGGAGCTGTGCAGTGCTCCTACGTAGAGAATGCAAATGAGGATGTGACTAAGTAGTTCATATGTTTTAACAAACATTTACACCCTCACACGAACCCTCGCTCTCTTCTTTGTCCTCTCTCTTCCCCCCTCCCCTTGTTCAGCAAGCAGTAACTAGGTTCCTGGCTAGGAACATTTTCCAGGAGCAACTAAGATGACACTTGAGAAGCTGTGGTAAGGAAAAGCCCTAAGCCTGCTAACAGGAGTTGGAAGTCATCTTCTCCTGTACCCACCTGCATACAAAAAAAATCAATACTTCCAACTGAGGTGTCTCAACAGGTTGTCAGTAGCAACAGGGGCATGGTGGTGTTGAGCTAGTGAATAAATTATGTAATATTCATTATGCAAGATGAGCCCAAAAGGAGGGGAGGAGGGGAGGTTGTTGTTGCTGCTGCCACCATGGTGGTTGGAGGGGGGGTTGTTGCTGCTGCCACCATGGTGGTTGGAGGGGGGGTTGTTGCTGCCGCCACGGTGGTTGGAGGGGGTTTGTTGCTGCCGCCACGGTGGTTGGAGGGGGGGGGGGTGGGGGTTGTTGCTGCCGCCATGGTGGGGAGGGAGAACAGCTGTGCCTTAATTTTATACCTGTTTGTCCTGCTCTTCACACTTGACTGATGTCCAAGTTATCGATGTTGGGGGAGGGGGAGGTAGAGGAGGGAAGAAAAGAGTGGGGAGAAAGAGTATTGGAGTCTGTGCTTACCTATCAGTGCCTACAGGGGAGTGAAATCTAGCTCCTTGTGCCCCACCTATCAGTTTGTACATTGGGCACTAATTACCCCTCTCATCGTATTGTATTTTCATATTTGGTCTTGGTTGTGGATAGAATAGGCTTTAACAACCTCATTCAATGTGGGAGGGGTGGGGAATGATATAGGACAGTGACAAGAATGGATTGTAGTGGATGAATGGAGATAGGGAAGAAGGAAAGAGGATAGGTTATCTTGAGATGATTTCGGGGCTTTAGTGTCCCTGCGGCCCGGTCCTCGACCAGGCCTCCACCCCCAGGAAGCAGCCTGTGACAGCTGACTAACACCCAGGTACCTATTTTACTGCTAGGTAACAGGGGCATAGGGTGAAAGAAACTCTGCCCTTTGTTTCTCGCCGGTGCCCGGGAACTACTAACAAACTTGTGGACCAAATCTTTTCATACACTTACCCCAGAGTTCCTTATATTTTAAACTTAAGGTTGGCTGGTAATGACCAGTTAGGGACCCGCCTGGCCAAGTAAGACTGGCCATAAGCAATTGCCTAGGTTTGCTATTACTGTAGTATAATTAAATACATTATTAATAGGTATTAGTCCAGATAAAAGTGAGCAACACTGTAAAGAAGGGTTGTGATATTGACTAATAAAACATTAAATATATCGCCATCCATTCATTCTAACACTTGTACTACAATATATTACATCACAATGTTTATCGCATTTCTTGTGCCCTTATAACGACCTTTGACAATCTTCGGGTCTTTATTTTCCAACACAGGTGGGTACAGGAACAGACAACTTCAGACTTCTGTTAGCAGGTTGAGAGCTTTCCTTCCCATGGCTCATGGTAATCCTTAGCTACTAGTTTTCCCTGGAATACAACCCACCAATCGGTTAACAGCCAGGTATCCATTTACTGCTGGGTGAACATAGGTGAACAATTGAGGATTAGCACCTAGTTAGTCCCCCCTGGCCAGGACTCGACAGGTCCTGGCTAAGTTGCTCGCAAGGCGTGGGGTGAGTGCGTTACCACTGCATCAGCAGGGTCTCGTAGCTTTTTCTTTTATTTCTGGCTCCCACGCGTTCTTTGATCTCTGGGTCTCCTAGGATCTTGTTTCATAATTGTTGGCCTTGCATGTTTGTTGACCTTCGTTTAGTTTCACGGCAATCTAGGCTGTCCTCTGGCATACGTTTCATTACTTGTTCGGTCAAGTGTACCCTCGGTCATGAGTATTAATAATTATACTGAATTAGTGTACAAGATTTTATTATGTATCCTAAATTTGATACTCGTGTGTTCATGGTGAATCTAAAAGGTCTTCTCTGAATGCCTTTTGTTCTCTTCTCCAAGGTTACGGTTCTTCATAATTGCACGGGAAGTGGTATTGCTGTGTCCACACACAACACGTGTGTGTTGTGTGTGTGTGGCTTTTTCATTCATTTCTACCTGTAGGGTATTGGGTGAGCTGAAGGAGGTGGAGGAGCCTGTGAGACTTTACTGGATGAAATGAGAGCAGAGGTGGCAGGTATGGATTAGTCGTCACTTTCCGCGAGTGAAGTGCCTTGGAAATATTGCCTCTAACTGGCCTTGGAAGGGTGGGGGCTAGGGCTGAGTGGTGGAGGGGAGGAGAGAGGGGCAGGATAAGAAAGAGGAGAAATGAGTGCTGATAAAAGAGGAAGGAGCTAGGAAGTTTTTTTGGTTCATCTTGGCTGGCTACCGAGTGGTCATTTGTACATTTTCTGTATGCAAGGTGGCATAGTATGTGGTGAGGGTGGGTAGGGGTTGAGATTAGCTATGGAAATATGGAGTAGTTGGGGTCTGAAGAAGTTAATATAGATTTCTGTTGGGAAAAGTTAAAAAAGGGGAGGATCGAGATGGGTGAAGGGGTGACACAAGATACAGGGGTTAAGACTAAGCCGATGGTGGAGATTTAATGATTTGATTTTGAGTGAAGGGGGTTGACATGGGGTAGGGGTTACCTGTGGAAAATGTCAATATTGTAGTTCTATTATTGTAGCCTATTCTGGTGTGGGTACCCTAGAATACTCGTTTTATCAGTGACCCTCCACCACCGACATGCGAACCTCGACTATCAGATGCCCATACAAATAAAGACACCCACTTAAATCCCCAACCTCGTGTCCATTCCTGATCCCACCCATACACCCAATCACCATATTCCCCGACTTAAAAATATTGATTATTATTTCAATATGCAATACAAAGTGGGGGGGGGAGACAGGGCATAAAGAGAACAAGTAAATAAGGGAATGATACGCCGAGAGAAGCTACAAGGAAGTGTCGAGCATAATAAAAATATCTTGTATTAAACATATATATATAAATGTATTGCTGTAACTTAGAGGCAGTGAATGGTAAATAATTAGTTGAGAGTATTCTCTCACTTAGTTTTAATTAAACAAATAATATACACATCTAAAGAAATATCTGAATTTCAATACAGTAACAAGACTTTGGTAATAATAAAAATTATTGCTAATAAGTTGTTCCACAAATACAGAAAATAAGCACATAGTTGGAATGTCAATACAGTACTGTACAGTATTGTGGTTTGAGCAAAAGCTGTCACCATTCAACCCCCCCTACATTATACACTTGTATTAAACTCGCATAGTTGGGGCTGGTGTTTATAAGTACGGTACGATAAGGGAAATAGGCATTAGATATTTGTTTCGGAACAGTTTGGGTATTTCTTGAAAGATTTTAAATTGTTTTAGGCAAGGATACATCACAGGCATTATTTGTGTATTGTATAATCAAATATTAAAAAAAAAAGCAGAAACATGAAAGCTATAAAATAAACAAATAAAGGAACGTAATGTAGATTACTCGAACTTGTAGATCACTAGATGGTCTGTTAATCTTTGATTATTTTATCTTCATGATTTTTACACTGCCTTATTCTCATGACAGGCTGAGGAGAGTAAACGGGTCCAAGCAGAACTGGAGGAGCGCCTTCATGCTGCCGACCTGCACAGTGCACACCAAGTCGGCCTTCTTCGGCAGCAGCTGCAACAGCGCGAGGTGTGTTATGCTGACAGTCTGCACCAGCATTACACTTCACATCATCCTTACATAATTATGAATGTTGCTCTCCCTATCTTAAGACAGTGGAAAAGGGATTCCTCTTGTGGGATGTGAGAGACTGTCTTGAATGATTCGACAGAACTGAGGGCAGTAGTTACAGTATATGTATACAGCTACTTGTAAAAATTCTTATAGTTAATAGAGAGGTTAACCCCTTTAACGTTTTTGTGCCTACAGTCGTCATTTGCCCAAATCGCCAGAATGTTCCAATGACTAGTCGTACAGCTAATTTTCAACATGTCGGCTAATTTTAACTTGCCTTTTTGTTATTTTATTTTGGTTTTACTGCATCTTTGAAAATGCCATCATAAAGTACAACTCTTTAGCTTAAAAATTATACCAAATTGAGCACTTTATCATGCATAGTAACTTTGAAGTGTGTGTTGGAAGTAAAATATCGCTAAGCGAATTTGCACTTGGCCCAAGAAGCTGTTACCTGTAGTTCCCAAAATTGTAAGGGGGAAAAACGTGAAAGTGTTGAGCATTCCTTTCCTTAGGGAAAGGGAGGGAATTATCAGAGAAAAGCACTAAGCCATTTCGATCGTATAGCATTTGGAAAGGGTCGAGATAAGGATTTGGGCTGGGATGAGGGGAAGGAATAGTGCCCAACCACTTGGATGGTCGGGGGATTGAACGCCGACATGCATGAAGCTAGACCGTCACTCTACCGTCCAGCCCAAGTGCAAATGAGAACATAAGAATGAAGGTAACTGCAGAAGGACTATTTGCCCATATGAGGCAGCCTTACTTTGAGGTTACCTTGAGGTGCTTCCGGGGCTTAGCGTCCCTGCGGCCCGGTCATCGACCAGGCCTCCTGGTTGCCGGACTGATCAACCAGGCTGTTGGATCCAGCTCCTATTTATATCCATGGTTTTGTTTTTGTAATTTAGTTTGAGATGAAGGCTCTGTCCCATCTGGTTTGACTCCTGTGGGGAGCCAAACCCACGTGGTATAACTAAAGATGAGCAGATAGAAATAGACTTCTTCTTTTTTTTTTTTTTTTTTTTTTTTTTTTTTGAGATATATACAAGAGTTGTTACATTCTTGTACAGCCACTAGTACGCGTAGCGTTTCGGGCAAGTCCCTGGAATACGATCCCCTGCCGCGAAGAATCGTTTTTTCATCCAAGTACACATTTTTTACTGTTGCGTTAAACAGAGGCTACAGTTAAGGATTTGCGCCCAGTAAATCCTCCCCGGCCAGGATACGAACCCATGACATAGCGCTCGCGGAACGCCAGGCGAGTGTCTTACCACTACACCACGGGGACTTCTGTCATGAGGTTAGAAAGAGAATAATACAGTATCTCTGATTCTCATGATGTTTTGGGCACCTGAGCCATCTACATACAGCAAGTTTCTAGCAGTAAAGATCATGAATTTTAAATGAATCCTGGGACTTGGATATCTGTTTTATTTATTTGGTGTCAATGGCTATAGTAATAAGATGTCAGTCATTAGAGAAAATAATTCATTGAATTAAATTCATCATTGCGGGACTGCATCAGTGTAAGGCATATTAGAGGCAGGAACATTAGTGAGGGCTACACTGCTAAGAGCACTTTAAACTATAGTGTTTTGGGTACAGTGGGCTACACCATTGGGGTAGGGATTACGGTTGGCTACACCATTGGGGTAGGGATTACGGTTGGCTACACCATTGGGGTAGGGATTACGGTTGGCTACACCATTGGGGTAGGGATTACGGTTGGCTACACCATTGGGGTAGGGATTACGGTTGGCTACACCATTGGGGTAGGAGTTACTGTGGGCTACACCATTGGGGTAGGGATTACGGTTGGCTACACCATTGGGGTAGGAGTTACTGTGGGCAACACCATTGGGGTAGGGATTATGGTTGGCTACACCATTGGGGTAGGAGTTACTGTGGGCAACACTATTGGGGTAGGGATTACGGTTGGCTACACCATTGGGGTAGGGATTATGGTTGGCTACACCATTGGGGTAGGAGTTACTGTGGGCTACACCATTGGGGTAGGGATTACGGTGGGCTACACCATTGGGGTAGGGATTAATGGGCTACACATCTTGTACTTCCATGATGCATGTCTCTTGCCTTTCCCTTATATATTTAGCATTACAGTATATTTTTCCTTCACAATAAAATGCCTCCAAGCATTGATGTACTTATTACCCCAAATTCAACTTCAAATAGCTTAACTATAAAATACTGTAATAATAGTTGCATAAATAGTAGTTTATTAGTATAATTCAGCACATAATTGAGAGTGTATATATTGAGGTAAAAAATAATTATTGCATAGTCTATAGTATCTTTTATAATTTGAGAGAATATGAAATGAAGTAGACTGTCCACACCACCACCACTACTACACAGCCTTCATATAGTCACTCACTGAGTGGCTCACTCACTGAGTGGCTCAATAGATGACCTATATAGTTATGAGATTCATATGCGAATACAATAAAAGGAAGATAAATATAACTTGTGCATCACTCGGTGTGATTACACGATATTTATGTAGGAATTGCCATACGCAATGCGGTCATGTACGGTTTCGTCGTCATATGCAAATGCACCCAAAGATGGCATAAACAGACGTGCAGATTGCACATTTTGCTGCTCAAGACAATGGAGTACAAATAGAGATGTGACTTTAATGCAGAATAATGTTGAGTGTGTACTTGTGTAATCTAAGACGCTGTCAATAACATAAATCTGCTGATTAGTAAGAATTATTGCAACACTCTTATTGTCAAAATCCATCCATGTCCTCAAACAATCACTGAGTTCCATATTCCCTAGTACCACTCAAATTTAGGACTGCCTGTTTTTGAATGATTTTAGAAGGCCAAAATGCTGGGCAGACAAGACGAGTGTGTGATGATGTAGAGACCGAGAATCGACAATGCATAAAATGTGGCAGGGAACAACGTTAGTTTGAAGCTATATGTAAGTTGTAAGTAAATGCTTGACACGTTTGTAGATGACACTCGGGAGGAGCACTGTGCTCCGTCTTTCAATGTGGTGGGTGCTTCTCCTGATGATTTGCTGGAATGTTTTTAATTGTTTGTGATGCTGTGCAGAGAGATATATTAAACAAACATGAGTAATGTTATTTTTCTAGATTTGCTACTGTGCCCTATTTACTCTGGTCTAATACCTGTTCCTCCTCCCCCCCCACACTGAGAAAAGTAAATGTATATCGCCACTGTTATTACATCACATCGTTTAGGTCTAATAATTAAACAACCTAAAGCAGCATGCTTTATTACAGGTTATTTGGATAGGAGTGTTTTCAAATTGCACTTGGTCATGTACGTGCATAAACCTTGGTAAATTAATCTTTCAGGACGAACTCCGAGCTCTAAAGGAAAAGAGCTGCGAGTGGGGTTGGGAAGTTGGTGATGGAGGCCCCAATTACAACCACACTCCCAACCATGTGTGGACAGATGGCCTTCAGAACTCTGACCATCATAATCACCTACCGCAACCACAGCAAATTAATAAGCGACAAGACTGGCAAGACCATCTCAATCAGCAGGTGAGTTGCTTGCAGTTGTAGTAGTGAATTTGTACAGCTGTACAATATTTAGACACCCAACCCTTGGCTCTGAAAATAAAAGAATTGCCGATGTTTGCACAGTCAGTGTGAAGTATATACTTGACGAAGAGCATAAATATGGAAAAACCACTCGCTTCAGACACCCTTGACTTAGAAGTTTCTCTACGGCTTACAAGTTTTTCTTTGTTGCTTCAATTAAGATAATTCATGTTTCTGTACACTCCCTTTACCCCGTGATGATCTCTGTTGTCAAAATTTATCTTGCCATAGTCGAAGTCTTGCAGATAAGAGATTCATTCCTTGTCGCAAGTACTGTAAAGCATTTCTTTTTTATGAAAGTAATACCCACTCTATTGTTTCTTGTGAACCCCTTTCTCAGTCTCCCATTATTATGATGGGAGACTGAGTGTATGGTCTCTGTGTTTCATATCTGGGATTTACTCTGCTTCAACCTCCAGTCTCTCCTGATCAGCAGGACCCCACCTTGGCCCCCCCCATTTTTTCTCTTTTATTCACCTGTTTCTTGCCTCTTTCTCATATCTTTCTTACTACATAGTAGTCCTAAAAGAACGCTACAATTATGACTCCTGAGAGTTAAATTACATCTCGGTTCATACATTGTTCCTTGCTGTATTTTCACCTATGTATTGTACATTGTTTAAAACTTGCTTCCTTCTGTGTAAGCTCTTTGTCCTCCTTTTCCCAAGTGTGGGACTTTGCTGTAATGCAGGGGGGGGGGGGGGGTTGTTAGGGTGTGGGCAGCATAAGGTAATATGGTAAGGGTAAGGTAATATGAAGGCTGCGGATGGGGTAGTTGGATTGTGGGAGAGGTGATTGGTGGGCTTCGGGTGGGGTTATCTTGAGATTATCTTCAGATGATTTCGGGGCTTTTTAGTGTCCCCGCGGCCCGGTCCTCGACCAGGCCTCCACCCCCAGGAAGCAGCCCGTGACAGCTGACTAACACCCAGGTACCTATTTTACTGCTAGGTAACAGGGACATAGGGTGAAAGAAACTCTGCCCATTGTTTCTCGCCGGCGCCTGGGATCGAACCTGGGACCATAGGATCACAAGTCCAGTGTGCTCTCCGCTCGGTCGACCGGCTCCCCACTGGGGTGGATTTACTTGAATTGTAGGGTGAAATGGAAGGGGGGGGGGGAATCGTGGATAGTTTGGGTATGAATTGAAAGGAATGATAACAAGTGGTAAAGGTGTTTGGGTTTAGGATGATGATGTGTGGGGGACTCGGAGTAACCCGTCCTCCTAATAGAACGTCGCATTTTGATGTACAGTATATTCTACCGAAGGCCAAAAATCGTCGTACTAGAAATGATAGTTGCTCGCAAAATTGACATGCTGTCCCATTTTCTGTTTTAGGTCCTCTAGTAAGTCAGGATAGGGGGACTTTAGTACGACAGTTTCTCGATGATGGGAAACCTTAAAAGGACTGGCTGCTCAGAGTGAGATTTATGAACCGAGGCATGCTGGGAGAAGGTCAATGTGAAAGTGGGGACACAGTAGTGTGTAGGATAGGGGACAGAGTATGTTGAAAGGCTGGGGAGTAAAATGCTTTATGCTATTTTATGGTGATGTGGAGAATGGTGTGGTTAGGAAGGAGAGGAAGCATGATTGGCTTAGGGTGTGGATGTTAGCATGGCCTGACAGCTGAGTGGACCGCACTCGGGATTCGTAGTCCTGAGGTTCCGGGTTCGATCCCCGGTGGAGGCGGAAACAAATGGGCAGAGGTTCTTTCACCCTGAGGACCCTGTTACCTAGCGGTAAATAGGTACCTTGGAGTTACAGCTGCTACAGGCTGCTTCCTGTGGGTGTGTAACAAAAAGGAGGCCTAATTGAGGACGCTAGCCATGGGGACGCTAAGCCCCAAAATCATCTCAAGATAACCTCAAGAAGATGCTCATTTTGCAAGTATTAAAACCTGTATTAGAGATCCTGGGCAGGGTGTTAATGATTGGGCAGTGTTCCTTCAATTTGGTTGCCCCTGTTGACACAGCTGTTATTGGGGGGACCGGGATGTAAACAGGTTGGCATAGATATGCATTTTTTGGGGGGTGAAGAACATAAACAACTTGAACTTAATAACTAATTCCAGTACCTGGTCCAAGGCCTAAATTCTAAGATAAAAAGAGCATTGTAGTAGAGTGCATAGTAAAATGATAGTAGAGGTGGGCAGGATTGGGTGGCAAGAGCAGCAATGTAAGGGAAATGGCACAAGAGATAAGCATGGCAGATTAAGATAAGATAAAAAGAGCCAGCCTAGCACACAGCAGGGGCACCATACTGACTTTCTAGGGTCTGCCATTCTCTACCCTCGGTGGACCACCAAGACCAACAGCCTTAATGATGAAACAATCATCAGGGAAGCTTGGTCTCGGGTCGGGAAGTGCGAGTAGAATAACCCCCCTCCCATCTGGTCTCCTCTCTTCTGTTCCCCACCTCACTGCTACCCCATCCCTTTGTTCCTCTACACCAGTTGACTCTTGTTGACCAGACCACACACTAGAAGGTGAAGAGACGACAATGTTTTGGTCCGTCCTGGGCCATTCTCACAATCAACTTGAGAATGGTCCAGGACGGACTGAAACGTTGTCGTCCCTTCACCTTCTAGTGTGTGGTCTGGTCAACATACTTTAGCCACGTTATTGTGACTCATCGCCTCCAGTTGACTCTGTTCTTCTCGCCTTCTGTAGCCATCTCTCTCTCTCTCTCTCTCTCTCTCTCTCTCTCTACCCTAACCCTTTCTTAATTCTTCCCCTCTGCAACCCCCATACTTTGGAACCCCGCCTTTCTTCACAAATGTATTCCATCTCCCCCTGCTTACCTCTCTCCACCCTAATCTTCTGCCCCCCTCTATATATACCTCTTCTGTTACTCTTTCCTACTTCCCACTCCATATTCACCTTTCATCTGCACCCCTGGGGAAGTGGGAAAGAATGAAGGTGTTGGCGAGGAAATTGGGTCAAAGGGGAGTTTTTGGGTGTTTACGTCTTGGCGACTCTAGGAGCATGAATTTTAACTGTTTTTGCCATGTCTCCAGTCTTTTGTATCTAGCTATGTGTCTTGTCTGCTCTTGAAGCTGTTAGAGGTGGCTTCCCAGGCTTCCTCCTTTAGGGCGTGTTAATGAGTGGGGGGGGGAGGGGAGGGATAATTGGAACAGAGATGATTGGATGAGGGGGCAGTGAGGGTCATGGAAGAACATTGTAATCACCCAGTTGTGCTTGTGGGGGCTCTTGGGTCCTGCCTCTCGACCGTCAATCAACTGGTATACAGATTCCCGAGTCTACTGGGCTCTATCGTATCTACATTTGAAACTGTGTATGGAGTCGGTCTCCATCGTATCACTATCCAATGCATTCCACTTGTTAACAACTCTGACACTGAAAAAAGGTTGTTAGGGAGGGTGTTTACGAGGTGGGTTGGCCAGGAGGGAGTATTGAAAGGGGTAGTGGTAAAATTCCAAGCCAAGTGTAGCTTTGTAAGGGGAATTTTGACGGGGAGGGGGGGGAGTTTTTGAAGGCAAGCGAGACCATCAGAAGTTTTTTTTTAGTTGCAAATGGAGATGGAATGGAAATAGTGAGAGTCAGTACATGTATTACTTTATAGCACATAGAAGGGATACATGGACAGGATAAGAGATGGGATAAAGAAGGTTGTTGGAGAGTATAGTTTGGATAGTGTTGAAGTGGGTGTGCATAGGTGGGGGGAGGGGGGTATTGGAGGTGGAGAGTACGGTGTTGGAGAGGTGGGGGGTAAGTGTTGGTCCCGCTTATCGAGTGGGAGACGTGGTGGTGACGTAGCAAATATTTGAATTGTTATCACCACCTTGATAGTGCCGGGTGTAACGGACGTGGAGGGAGGAAGTGGAGGAGAGGGGGGGATGTAGAGGTGCAGAGGCTAGGGGGATGTAGAGGTGCAGAGGCTAGGGGGATGTAGAGGTGCAGAGGCTAGGACGGGAGTGTAGGGACATATAGACTGGAGGGTGAGGGAAGCCCCGGCACCTCTGGGGACATTGCTGATGGGTGGAAGTACCAGAAAAATGTATTCGTTATCTCCTTAATAACAAGTCGCTAGTGCAGTCGGATCAACGTTGAATGGATCAGAGGCAGGGAGGGAGGCCTTTGGACACATTTCTTTACACTTGATTGGCCTACCCTGTTCACCTAGCATTATAAGAGTACCTAGGAGTTGCACAATTGTTGCGTTGTGCATACTTAGGGATGGTTAGTCATGGTCAGTGGGTAGTTGTTAGTCAGTAGGACCTGGATAAACCTAACGACTTGCTGGCTCTGACAATCTTGGGGGAAACCATAATGCTAAGATCAAGCAGGAAGACTCTCTACTTGAGATTTACCTGTTGATTCCTACTCGTCATTACAAAAGATCATTAGTATTATATTTATGAGCGCCCTGTTATCAGTGACTTTTAGACCGCATGGTACAAGATGTTTTGAGCTCTGTGACTTCATACACTCAAGCATTTTGGAGGATATTTGTGTGTTGTAGCCAGAGTTTGCTTGTGCAGGCTAGTAGACTAGACATGCATCTTGTGTGTTCTCCGGATTCAATGTCTTGCCATCCTGTGAGGTGGGGGGATATTAGACCATCACATGCAGGCTAGTAGACTAGACTTGATTCTTGTGTGTTCTCCAGATTCCGTGTCTAGCCATCCTGTGAGGTGGGGGGATATTAGACCATCACATGCAGGCTAGTAGACTAGACTTGATTCTTGTGTGTTCTCCGGATTCAATGTCTTGCCATCCTGTGAGGTGGGGGGATATTAGACCATCACATGCAGGCTAGTAGACTAGACTTGATTCTTGTGTGTTCTCCAGATTCCGTGTCTAGCCATCCTGTGAGGTGGGAACATTACACCAACACATGACTAGCTTTTGATCTGTATTATGTTAACCGTTACAATGTGTAGAACTGAAGGGGGTACCCAGCTGTGCCCAAGTCTCTCCGA